GCACGCATCATAACGTTGAATACAGGATGTGGTAGCTTCCAATCTCCTCTGCTTACTTGAAATTTTTTTGGATAATTACGTGGACCCCTTATCAGTCTACACGAGCACTTATATGTAGTGGTTATTTTGCGATTCTGTGAATTATACGAACACGACTGGAACCATTCATTGTGGCTAAAAGGGTCTATAAACAGCCCTGCCAACTCCCATCGTCAGAGTTTCTGATAATCACATTGTTCATTCGATCGTAAAAAGATATTCCAAGTCTTTTAACTCCAGTTTGTGCGATTCAGACCTTTCGCTTTCATTTACTGTGCGCCTTATTGATCATCATTATAGTTTGCAATGTTCAACAGTATGATCAGAATTAGTGTGGAAATCAATTCTCTAAACGGCTTTTCTTACTGGAAATATTTAACCTCATTCGTGCGATCCAACCGCACTATCACTGCCATACCACTGCTAGACATCAAAATGTCAACAACTGAGTCGTTCCCAACATTGATGAGAACCATTCATTAGAAGAATTTTCTTAATTTCTCTCATTTCAGCTGGAGAGTTGGATCAATCTAAACTTCTTGTTTCTGCCTCGCAGTACCATCCTTCCGTAGGTGGGTACTTAATTCCTTGCCTTTGTTTCCGAACCATTTTCGAAAAGTTTGATTGTCGTGAAAATTGAGCCTGTCGAATGATGAGTGTGATACATTTAAATTGTGACCGGAAACGTAAGCCTTTGGCGACAATGTGTCGCCTTTGTCGCCAAAGCATGGATTTGTATTATTGTAGTATCGTGCAGTTTCCTCATATACGTGACCGATGTGAGTTGCTCATTCAACACATAGCGGTAGTGTTCTTGCATATGAGCGTATGAATGTTTAAGAAGGGTCTTCGCATACCCACCCTTCCTCTTCAATATATGAAGACTGCCTTTAGGCTTCAGTTTATTCTCTGAATTTTATCAATCATACAGCAGCCGCTGCGAAATGTTCACTCACATAAAAAGTGGTCGTTTCCACCAGTGGAGTGGAGTTACGAATAGTCATTGCTGGTTATGAAGGAACATCAAGAACTCTTGGATTTTGCTATTCTCAAAAAATCTCGGAAAAATGCTGGCATAATACTTACTGATCTATATTCCCTTTGCTAAGCCAGAATTAGTTCATATGAATGTAGACTTCTTGGCTTAAAGCAACAGTCCAGGCAGGGTTTCAACTACTTGGTCATTAGGCGGTCAAAACATGCCCCAGCCCAACTAAAGTTTATAGGAAATGTCTTTAATTCAAAACCTACCTCTAAAATGCGCTGGAAGGGGTCGAAGTCCTCTTGGAGGGGGCGGATCACCCATAAAGAGGCGGATCGCCCAACATACGCTGTGCAGAGCGCTTGCTCGACTAGCGGTCGTTGCGGGACCGCCGCGCTGTATGAGGTCGATTCCATAAGAACGCAATTGAAGCGCTTCAATTTCGATTGCTGGCAAATAGTTATGTATTTGCAAGCATGCATGGCTATTTGCCAGCAGTTGCAATTGGAGCGCATGTACTACGGGCAGGTTCGGACAACTCGTCCAACACACGTCTCCCTAAACGGCAGGGGGAGTCCCTGTCTAAGCCCCTGCCCGACGTTTTTTTCTACTTTTTCTTTCTCCATTGACCAACTTCTCACCTGCAACGTCATTATAGGTGGTCCTTACCCGCGAATTCGTTCCTGGATTGTTGCTTTTAAAGCGAACAGGGTTAATCGAAGCTGAGAACTTTTTTCAAAACTGCCCGTAACTTGTAATCTCGACTGAAATATTGAAATTTCTCTCGATGGTCACCTTCAGTGTTATTTTAACGAGTTTGCAGCTCCAGCTCCACAGTACTACCATCATGTTGGCACAGCATCGCACACAGGTATGACGTTACACGCTGCTCCTAGTACCGCAGTCACATGGGCGACGACTGTAGCGCCAACGGGCCCTAAGTACAGGTCGGTCCCATATTTCATACAGGCTTTTTTAGTGCTTCATATTAGAGAGATATTATTGCTAGTGACTCTGTTGTCATCAGCGAAGCCCTTGTAAAAGGGATTTGCTTTCTTTTATTGTGAGATTTGTTTGCTTATTCGGTACCAGTTTCATTCGGGCAACCGCCTTTACCTTGCTTTTTCCCGCTTATGCCGTGCTCGTTTCCGCTTGAGATTTTCACTCCTGTCAACTGCGACAACACCCATCACCACGCATGTAATGTAAGACTGCCTACTTTGCCTCTCATATTTCATTCATAGTAAGGCCTCATATCGCAATCAAAACATCACAGTATGAAACCTCAGCGCTGATTTGAAACCCGGGTTTTGGCGGTTAATTCGCCCTATTTTTGACGGCTCTCCTTTTGCTGCCTCCACCTGCCACTGCAGCACTATACGGAATGGCCCAGAATGTGTTTATTGGGTTTTCTAAGTTGAGGTTGGAGATATTACCTTTATCATGTCGTCACAATTGAAAGATAAACATTGAAAGATCTTCGAGCGCCACAGTTTTGTTAGCAGGTTGGATTATACCGCTACCTGCGTTCCCATTTCTACCATTCCTACGGACGCACATACAAACGGACATGTCACCAGCAGGGTTTTCCTTCTCTCATCATAGTATAGGCACTTCGCGGATGGACGGATAGGTAGACATACATGTACAAGCACGCTAACAAACCGACACACCAGTTCTGCGGTTTCTAAAAGAGAGTGATGATTTTGGGGAAGATTTTCCTAATTTCTTGAATCTTTGTCCAAGGCTTATACTTTCTATATCAAAACAATTTTTGACTGTTCAAGATTTTTTCTTGGACATCTTCTTGTTCATGTGCGTAAACACAACAAGAACAAGGTTCTCCATTGCGACAACAAGTTAGGACACCCTAATTCTTCCCGTATTTTTCTTCGCGTTATTCCATTTTCAAAAAGCAAAAGCTACAGGCCTTTCTCCTAACAAAACTTATGTTCTTATTGTTTCTTCAGGTTTGTCCGCCTTCATGTTAAATCTACTAATTGCTGGAGCTCACAATTCTGTGACAATTTTCTGATAGGAATTTCAGTGCTCCTTCAAGGAACATTATTGGAGCATGGCGTTGTTATGAAAATATCTTCATGAAGTCAGCAAATTATCCGTTGTTTTCAGGCCACCATCTCCGGTGCGTGACTACAAGAACCCCGTGGCCAGTATGCCATTTCGAGATTTCAGTCAATGACAGTACCGTTTAGTAAAAGGGTCATAATGAAAAAATAGTTGTTCACATTTGTTTTTCTGTTGTAAATATTGTAAATTGCTTGTATTGCACGCTGCACTTATAGCGATCACGGCGGAGTGCTTTCTCTGTTTTTCTCGTAAAACCAGTCTTGGTTTATTCGTTAAAACTTTGGTTTCTGAACTTACATCTCTATTATTTGCCAGCTGTAATCGAAGAAATAGAT